CTCAAAATAACAATGATGGCGATAACTCGTACCTGCGATATTAACACCTATGGATTTAGTCTTCTCGTGTATGTATAACGTGTATGTATAATATATATATTAAGAGAGAGACAGAGCGGTCTATATTTTCTTTCCTCGTCACTAAGTCACCCATCTCTCTCGCTCTTTACTGCACTTACCGCTCATAATTTTTATATCATATATTTATATTATTATATACTATATGATAAACACAACGGACCTGCGCTATGAACGGTCTGCCTGACGAAGTTTCGCGGCTCACGTTTGAGATGCACGAATGCAGTGACGATGCCGCCAACGAAAAAGCTGCGCTCCCAAGGAGAACGTAAATATGTCGTAATCGGAGATAATCTATCGAGTAATTTTTTTTATTTAATGCTACAATCTATTAATGTATTTAAAGAAATAAGAAATTTTTTTAAGCAAAATAGAGACTCAATAGTATAAAATCATTTTGATAGACAAATTAATGCTGTTACATATTTAAAAAATTTTTGAATATCACAGTAATTATGAGATAAATCTGGTAATTTCTGAAATGAAACGTTCGATATTTGTAATATTTAATTAGAGTTATATATTTGTGAACTTTACGCGCAAATATGGCGCTATACTGTCATTAGTTTTTTATGTATGTGAATTTTATTTCAATATCGAAAGTCCGTCTTTTTTAGAAAATAATTATTAATTAATCACTACTCAATATAAAAATAATTCAGAAAGATTTCTAAATACGAGGTAAAAAGAAATGTTATAGGAATTTCGATTCTTAATAATAAAAATTGTTTAAACTTTAATATGATGTTATACAGTTAATTTATATAAAGTACTACTTGAAGTTCTTTCTCATTTCTCATATGTGTATCTCAAATCAGGCATAAGGACGTCTTTAAATTTCTTAAAAGTGAAATAATTTTCGATCTAGCATACAGCCATTTATCTTGAATGGTCGATAACGAGATTGGCCTCGCGTGTGAGCCGCGAAGGAACGTAAAATTCTACGACGAGAGTGATCGTACTCCGATCATCCTTCGATTCTAACGACGCATCTATTATACAACCTGTTTCTTTTACGTTAGCACGTATAGATGAATATGTATATGTGTTCGTGACCCGTGTGTTTCTGTACGACTGGGCGAAGCGAGGGAAGAACGATCGATCGCAAGTACAAAAGCTTCGTTTTACCTTCTCTTCTAACACCAACATGGACACTCGACATTACGACGCACGTCAACTAATTATAGCGCAAACTAATTGCAGTGAAAGAGGCGATAGAAGGATGGCATACTAGATGGACGGGGTTTCTCTTCTAACGTGCCTTGAAGGCGCGTCCGATCGATCGATATTTATCGCCGCTATTCCAAAATCAAAAAATATTCAGGATGATTTTTTTCCTGCTGGATTGCTTGCGTTTCATTATATTATTAAAATTGCACCAAGAAACGTAGAATTTCTAGTAATTTACTGAAACGATTCAGCAGAAAAGCACCGTGTGCCGCACGCTTAAAATCAATGCTGAAATATCTAAAATATTTTATTGTTAAAAAAAGAAAATGTATATATATATATATTTTTTTTTTAACAAAAAGTTCGTTGATGTCAAATTTTTAGGTGTCGTGCGTAATTTA